CCTGAACCTGTTCAGCCTTCACAAGAGAAGGCTGAGGGGGGATCTGGTGACCGTCTATAAACTCACTAGGGGGGACCAGAAGGGTTTGGGGCAGACCCCCTTCCCCCTAGCGCCCCCCAGGGTAACAAAGAATAATGGCCACAAATTGTTAGAGAGTAGGTTTAGATTAGACATCTGTAGGAACTACTTCACAGTCAGGGCGGCTAGGATCTAGAACCAACTTCCAAGGGAAGTGGTGATGGCTTCTACCCTGGGGGTCTTAAAGAGGAGGCTTGATGTCTACCTGGCTGGGGTCATTTGAGCCCAGTTCTCTCTCCTGCCCAGGGCAGGGGGTTGGACTTGATGATCTACAAGGTCCCTTCTGACCCGACTTCTATGAATCTATGAATGCTGATTGATACTGGAGCCTTGGTCAACATTTTGTGGAGTGGAGTAGGGTGGAGGGGACAGCCACAACTCACCTGGTGGTGGTTCCTTTGACCTTGAGATTTCTCCATAGTCCTTATCATCACAGACCCAGAGCTTCACCTGTCCTTGCTTGATGCGGCAGATTAAGTCAGGTGTCGGACCTTGATATCCTGTTTGGGCAGTGATTAAAGCATGTTTGTGACTCGATGCATAATAACCAACTGAGATTTGGGGAATGGATCCAATGAACTCATGGGTAATATTAAGGACTTCAAGGACACAGGAGGATGGTCACTGCTGTTAGTGCTAGAAAAAAGGATTTACACATGGTCTCCAGTAGGTATTTCATGCCTGAAAGGTATATTTTGGGAAGTGACTGCAAAGAGAATGACCCAAACAACACTTGCATGTGAACACGTGAAAATGAACATGTGACGGGGCCATCTCTGGGACAGTCACTTACGGCAGCCAGCCCACCGGTCTAGGGCACTCCACCCACCTAACTCACTTGCCATGCCTTGGTTGTAATTAAAGAGAAGCTGTCCCTAGGCAGGAGGTGAGTAAAATGTTAGTGTAGCCAGAAATCAAGAGGATTGCCAACATAAGTGATAACAAGTAGGTTTTTACACTGGGCAAATATCATCTGACATTGCCTATATAATGACACAAAAGTCTAAAAAGCTCAAGATGGTCTGTGCTGAGCTAAAAAAAGCATTTCAGCCTTTTTTTAAGGTAATCCTTTGGGGGAAATGGAGGGAAAAGAAAAGCACAAAACAAGCCAATGGACCTAGTAAAAGGTAAGTACCTCAAGCCTGAACACAAGCCAAAACGAGCCCCTGTAGTAGGAGCTTCTGGAATCGACAACTGGTTTTAACTGGGCCCTGCACCAAGCCCACTCCACTTTATCACAGTGATGGGCATGAGAGATGCAGGGAGATTTTAGGAGGAGGAGGACAAGAAAACTTTTGAGAATGGCAGGGTGAGCTTGAGAGCACAGGTCTCAAAGTAAATACAGCAAAGCCAGAGTCTGTGGTCAAAGGACAAGAAGATGATAGGGAGGAACGTGGACAGGAACGTCTAGCGACTCCGGGTTACAAGTATCCGGGTCCCATCACGTGTACGTAGGTCACTAGAGAAGGAGCTGAGGAAATGCAAGTTCCAGGTGTTGCAGCAGCAGAGACTGATAAGACTGCCATTAACTTCTGTGGGGTCGTATCCAGAGGAGGAGACAGGGGATTTAGACAGCACTGAGCTGAGCACGCTCAGATTGCTAAATGCTAGTGGACAGGACACACTAGGCAAGAGAGGGAGGAATCAGCATAACTACCCAAGGAACAGCTGTTAGTGCATTTGTAGGCGCAATGAATTGCAGATGATATGATCATGGTGAGAAGGCAAAGGGAAATCATGTTATCAAAGGGGAAGACTTTAGTGAAGGCAGCTGGATCAAATGAAGAAGGAACATATACACGTATGAAACATGAGAGAGGTGTGATCACGGACACAGCAATGAGGAAGAAGGGGATTTAAGCCACCGGCCAAAAGTTAATGAGCATGAGACCATTAAAACCAGGGAGAAGACAACACCACTTCAGCGCTCACATGGCTGCAGGGAGAGGCAAGAACCAGAGCTTTACCCAGGGAAACAAGGGCTTGGTGGTTCCTCAGCATCTGCTCCCGGTAAAGCCCCTTGTCTTCCTCTTCCAGCAGCTCCCACTCCTCCCGTGTGAAATACACTGCCACGTCCTCAAACACCTCCCGGAGCTGCAGGCACAAGCGTTCCAGCATCAGTGTCTCCTGCCCCCAGCCCCCACGGCCCTGTCTGCACTCACACTGTCAGCACTAACTCTTCCCAAGCCTAGCCATGACCGGCAGGGGTACAACATTCCCACTATTCACCTTTCACCTGACACATGATATGGAGGGATCCTGGTCTTTCTGTTTAAAAATTGCAAATTTTCTCATTTAAAAAACATTAGCTACCAACCCATACCCACCCTCCACCCCTACTGGTGCCCCACACTCCCCCACACAGCCCCTTGGCCCTGCTGGTGCCCCTCACTCCCCATGCACAGCCCTGCCCCCCCTGCTGGTACCCTCAGTCCCCATCCACAGCCCTTTGCCCAGCCCAGCTCAGCCCTGCCAGAGGGAGCCCCCAGCTGCCAGGGCTACGGGGCCAGGGACCAGGTCCACAGCACCCTGTCTGCTCAGCAACTGCCCGTGGGAGGTGCTGGCTACTGCAGCACAGCACACTGTGGGGTGGGCAAGGGCTGCCAGCTGTGGGCTCAGGCTCCCCGCTCTGCTGCCCGCCTCCTGAGGCCTCCATGGCAGGGAGCAGGACGCGGCGTGGCAGGACAGAGCAGGGTGGGACAGCTTGGTGGTGGTGCCACGAGCCGAGTGCCACCATGGCGAGGCGCCCTTGCCCACAGCGGGGGGGTTGTGGCGCAGACTTGTGCTTCCCGCTGCTGCTGTGTGGGCAGGGGGTGACTCACCATGGCGGTGCTTGGATCGCAGCAGCAGCATCGAGCTTCCCTGCCTGGCCCCACTGAGTCCTCGCCAGCCAGGACACACCATTAATGACCCCCACCCCCACCTGGCAAAGGAGGGCCAATTCAGTGTCCTATGGGGCACGGACATGTCCTGGCTACCACGCAGCCCCCCAACCTCAAACAGCCTCTCTCAAGCAACAGGCTACCTAACTCCCATTCTCACCAAGACACCAGGCCTTGCAACGGAGCCTGATACAAACACTGCTCCCTCCTCGATGCACACCACATCGTCACTGAGCCAGAGAACATGGATTGTGGCATCTGAGGGTCAATCACCTTGGGGGGCTCCTGTTTGCGGACATGAGGTGGCTCATCCTCAGGCCCTTGGGTTTTTTTCTCTCTTGCCTTCACAGCAGGCCTGTCCTCATGATGAGCCTTTGGCTGCTGCATCTGGAAATTGGCACACTCCAGCATGGCCCCCGGGGGCTGCATCTTGTCTGAGGACACCTCCTTGATTTTCACTCGCACTGTGACCTGGGGACGAGATCAATGTGTCACTGGGGAGCCGGGATCTGGGGGGGAACATCCCCCGACACGTGGAGGTGCAGATGGCACCAAACAAAGGCTCTCACCTGGAGCTTCTCGTCCTCCGCCTGCCCCAGCTGAAACCCCTCGGCCAGGGCCACCGCCTGGCCGCAGGTCGCCATGTG